CTCTCTCCACGAACCTATCGCATGAACTACCGCTATCCGTGCAAGTGACGGGCCACCACTCAGCGTCGCCACGCAACAGAAGCCGCTCGTGTCGGGAGAACTCTGTCCACAACCCCTACACGTGACGAGCTTATATCGCACACGACGATACACGTCGTCACGAAAAAAAAAGGAAGGTGAAATAAAAGCAATAAAAAAGCAATGCCACAAACAAACGCAACAACCGAGAGTGACACGACAGAAGTTGCACGTTGAACCCTGTGCCGTGGTGGAAGTACAAGATCGGAACGCCGTCGTGTCACTTCTCGCACATCCACAGAGTGTGCAGTTGACGGTTCGCTTAACTGAACTCTATCCGGTCGACACTGAAAATGTGTTTGCACCGAATTCTCCGGACTCGCGAGATGTGACAGCCATCACAACCCCCCCGCCGCCCCACCAACCCTAGAATGAAACCCCCTCGACCCAGCCATTCCACCCCCCTCGTGCACCATCACCCAAATAACCGGAGCGAAGGCCACACTTAATCCTTGCAAAGAGCTTGCGCTATTTTCAACAGCGCGTCACACAGCATCCGCTGTCCAGAATCCCAAACCTGGCACTGTGTCTCCTGCGCTCTCACCTCCCTCTCCATAATGTCGCACTGCCGCTGCAGCACATTGCACTGCCTTTTGCTCGCCCTGTCCACGGAATCGGCGATGACTTTCGAGTGGGACTGCATGACGTCCGTCACAGCTTCAAATGCATTCTGTCGCGTGCTCTTCCTCTTCGCCGTCTTCGCACCCATGGTCCTGCCGGCATGTCCACCGCCATCCCCGCCATCGCCTTCGCAGTTGTCACTTGCGAAAGTTTCCCCGCTCCTACCCCCCCACCTCCTTGTTGCTGCTGTGACATCCCACTGTCGACGAGATTCGGAGGATTGGCCGTTTGGCTTTTGCTCTGCATTGCAGCGATCGCTTGATACAACCGCCGGTCCATCTGGAACTTGTATCCTTTGTCAGCCCTTTGTTTAGGAGTGAGCGTAAAAAAGGACTGCATACCCGAATCCTTCTCCCTATCGAAAACTTTCCTGTATCACCCAATCACATTCTCCCAGCGCTTCATTCACGCATCCCACTCCTTCGCCACCCCTTGTGCGGACATCCTTTTGGCGATGTCCGTCCACTTCCATTCCTTGTTTTTCATTCTAGCAAAATTAGACCCTGTGGCTGCCATCGCCTCGTCGTAATCCCTCTTGAACCGCACCAGGACAAGGGACTCGTTCAGACTTCAATAGGTGCGACCGACACTTGTCCCGCCTCCTCCATCCACACCGACCACCCTTGCGTTTCCCTTTCCTCTACCCCTCCCGGCCCCAGTTCGTGCTCCACCTCCTGTGTTTCGAGCACTGGGTTGCAAGGACGGCTCGTCCTCTGTGTCGCCTTCCACGTCATCCATGTTGTCTCCATGGCCCGCACCATCTCCGTAGTCGTCACCCTCTGCTTCATGCTCCCCGTCACTCGTTGTCCGCATCGTCGAAACTCGAGCAATGATTCTCTGCACACAGCGCGTCGTTGATGGCAAGCTCGCTGATCGCCCGGTCCGTTGCACCCCCGCAGCCGCACCTGATGGACCCCCAACCGCTGGACTGAACTCTGACTGCTGGCCACAGCCGCCTCTATACACAGTCGTAGCCGGTCCTGCATGGCTCGCATGACTGCGACTGCCGCGACCTCCCTGCACACCGACCGATGGGTCACCGGTGGATTGGCTGGGGTGATCGACGAGAACAGTGTGCGTGACTGCTCTCTGGCCCCCGTAGGATAATTGAGGATCCCACGGCGGGCACATCCCATGTCCGCCATCAGAATACAGGAGCGATTCCATCGCTCCTTCGCTGGCAGCACCCCGCATCACTGTCCGTGCACCCTCCGACATTGACTGCGTGGATCCGTACGCTAATGGCAATGTGGCAGAGGGGGGCGCCCAAGTGTCGTCATCAGGCTGCGGCTGCTGATGGGGTGGCAGATGGGCGTAAAGACTGGGGTCGAACCAGAGTGGGGCTTCGTTCCCATCACCGAACATCGGTCCTGCTCCCATGCCGTACGTGTACCTCTCATGGCCGTTCGCACCTGCCATGATTGCTGTCGTCTTCCTATGCGATGTCGTGTTCGGCAACCTCCGCTTTTTTGTCCTCGCACGGCCGCGCAGCAAACCAGACAGGTGCAAGAGGACGATGACCACAAGGACCAGCAAGACGACACACAAAACGACAATCTTCCGGAGATGGTCTGCCGTGAAACGGGACGTCACAGACACGATGACAACCTACGAAGACGCCAAGCGTGCTCTGAAGGCAACGAAGGCCACGGCATTGGGGCAACCTCCGCTTTTTTGTCCTCGCACGGCCGCGCAGCAAACCAGACAGGTGCAAGAGGACCAGCAAGACGACACACAAAACGACAATCTTCCCGAGATGGTCTGCCATGAAACGGGACGTCACAGACACAATGACAACCTATGAAGACGGCAAGCGTGCTCTGAAGGCGATGAAGGCCACGGCATTGGTGCACAACGCCATACAATACAACACGCCTGTCGCGCATGTCGAGTACTACATCACACGCACAGGCAAACGCAGGGAATGGAGTCCACCACCACCGTTCAAATTTGAACTGCCCCGACCAGACACCCTCCTGCCGCCCAACCCACCCTCCACCCCCGCTGCACGCCAGCCCACTACCCGCCTTCAACGGGCAGTCCGCTCAACGGTCATTTTTCCCCCTTCCCCACCCCACCAGCACAAGCCACACTCCAACGCAGATGGTACCACTGGCAACGAGCCGTTGAGAGGCCTGCCGGATGGCTGGACCAACCGGTAGACCTGGAACGGTCCGCAAAAAAGAAAACAAAAAATTTATCACCGCCGATGTCTGAGCCGCCGTCCCCTCGCACTTGAACTCAAGGCTCCCCGGAGAGGTACCTCGAGCTCAAGTGCGAATTTGCCCCAACGGCACTTGAGTTTCAAGGGCTAGCACTAAAGAACAGGAAAGTAGAAACAACTCCGCGGCCAGGTTAGGGTGGGGTCAAACGAAGAATTTTCCTTCAACCCTTGAGTTCAAGTGGTGTCGAACGAGACCCTAAGTCTGACCAATTTGGTCATGTTGTACTTGTGCACTATAATTCTGTTGTTTTTTTTGTTTTTGTTTTTTTGGTTTTTCTTTTCTTTTTTCCCCTACCCGTTGTATCACTGCCAATGTTTTTTTTTTCCCCCTTGAACCATCTTCTAAAAGCTTCCCACTTGCCCATGTTTCCGTGCACTGATGTATTGCAGATAGTATTCTCAATGTATGCATGTCATCCTTGCGCAGGGGATATGCTAATTAGAAATTAAGAAGCACCTAGGACGATTCTCACGCCCGGCCGGTCCTGCGGGTGCATGACGCCCGGGGTACCCGGGCACGCAACAAATAAAAGAAATTAAAAAAATCGGGTTTTCTGCGCTCTCCCAGAGGACCCCAAATCTGGGCTTCTTTTTTTGGAAGTTGGCTGTCGGGGGGGGGGGGGGGGGGGGTATAAATTGGTTTTAAAGGGGCTAAAGGGGTTTAAATGGGGGTGCCTTAGTTTGATTCTGTTATTTTCTTTTTTATCTGCAATTCCGTGAGGAATTCCAATGTGATCTGATTCCGTGAGGACGTCCGGGAGTTAATTTTTTTTTTTAATCTCCAGTTCCGGGAGGAAATCCGGGCTCATTTCTTTCCTGTTGCATTTCATGGACTTGCCTTGCAGCTGAATGGTATGCACAGGTAACCGCTGATATACAGATCACGAGTTCAAGTTCAGACGGATGCATAATACAGTAATGTTAGGGCCTATCCGCCTTTTCAAAAGAAAAAGGAACAAAAAATGAAAAGGAAAAGAAAAGAAGGAAAGGAAAAGGTGCAAAAAAAAAAGAAAAAAAAGGAATGAAAAAGTTGGGGGCAAGCAGTAAAGGGGGGCAATGAAAAGCTTTCTGCAGGCCCGTTATTCCTTCTCCCTCCCTCCCTCCCTACCTACCTACCTACCTACCTACATACCTACCTACCTCCCTCCCTCCCTCCCTCCCTCCCTCCCTGCCTGTCTGCCTGCCTGCCTCCCTCCCCCCCTCCCTCCCTCCCTCCCTCCCTTCCTACCTCTGCAGTTAGGGCAATTCGCTCCCTCTCTGCTCCCTCCCTCCTTACCTGATTCTTTTCCTTCCTCTCACTCGTGCTTAGAATTGTGGCCCGTCCTCTGGGTTTTATTGGTTTCCCGTCACTAACAGTATATTGTCTGATAAAAATCTCATCATTGGCAACCAAAGACTCAAAGAGTCTAGACAGGTGATCNCCCTCCCTCCCTCCCTCCCTCCCTTCCTACCTCTGCAGTTAGGGCAATTCGCTCCCTCTCTGCTCCCTCCCTCCTTCCCTCCCTCTTCTCCTTCCTCTCTCTGCTCTTTAGCTGGGTCTACCAGTCGACATCATCTAACGTATTTTGGGTACGCGAATCTGGCCAATTTCGCTGTCAGGTAGCTGCAGCAATGGCGGCAAAGGCGAAACAACTGCATCGACAGCTGAGAGCAGCGAGGGCAGAAATGGAATTTGCCAAAGACAGAACTTCGCAGTTGGAGGAGGAGAATAAGAAGCTCAGGGAGAGTCTGGAAACAGGTCTCAGAATGGATGAAGATCCGCTGGTGAGTATTCTCTGCTCTGCTGCGAATGCCGGCAGCATGGCAGTTTCAGAATCTCTGTCTTCGACATATGCGCAGTGTATACGTTGGAAGCTTCCATTATTTTTTCACAATTACCCCTATGTTTTTGCTCTCCTTATGGAGACGGTCCAAGTTTCGTCGTCTACCTGTATCTCCCTGGATGTGGTTTCTCTCCCTTCGACCATGAGTGATTCCTTGAACAGTTGCACTGTTGCAGTCTTTAGGTTTAAACTTTCAAGTTCCGTTAAACCACTAGTACCTTTGGCGCATGGGAAAATAGCGGGCCTCCGGTGGGCCTCCGACCTTTTCGGAGGCCGAAACGAAACGACGGCCACCGATCAGATTTATTAATGGCAGCCGTCATGGGGCCCGGCCTCCGAAACTTTAGGAGTTTGGGAAAATGTCCACTTTCCCTATTTTCCCACGCGCCAAAGGTGTTAGTGCTTTAACCAAAAAAAAAAAAAAAAAAAAAAAAAAAAAAAAAAAAAAAAAAAAAAAAAAAAAAAAAAAAAAAAGCCATTTAAAATTTTTAATCCATGCTGATCTTGTTTCTCTCTATCGTTCCAATTTCTAACGGATCTCCTGAAGGACACGTCGTGAGTGATTCCTATGGAAGACTGTTGTTCTCCACCTAACGTTACTAGATCAAGTATGGACCGAGAGGGAGGGAGGGAGGGAGGGAAGGAAGGAAGGAAGGAAGGAAGGTGAATGAGGACGGCCAAGCCAGCAGACTCCAGATCCCACTGGTCCTACCTTTTTACTAGCAAAAGTGTGAACGTGCCCGTGTTTTTCACCCGCTTCGGAGCTTGCTGCTTTTTTCGAGAGCGAATGTCGCAGCAGTGCTGGTGGATCCTGATGCCAAAGCCGGGTGTGTGAGGCCTAAGCGGTCCTGCTGTGCTGATTTTGATGGTTGGCTCCTTGAATATCATGAAGCTAGCCAAGCAAGTAAGGTAGGTCTCAAGGCAGCGGAAGTAGCAAGATGGCGTCTTTTAAATCTTTTTTCGTTTTTTTTTTTTTTCAATTTGGGAGATTTCTCGATTTTTTGTGTGTCATCCTTGTGCAGGGGCCATGCTAATGTTCTATCTCTTTATCGTTCCCGAAACTACGTATGAAAGTTCAGATGACTCTCTCCCTGTGCACAGATGATCGTCCCATGCTCTCCCTATTGACAGGTGCAGGCATAGCTACGATCCGGACAGCCGGACAGGGATCCGGACTGACCGGTGTCCGGCGTCCGGTCCAGGTTTCCAGATCCTGGTCCGGATGGTGGGAAAATGGGGGGTAGCCCAAAGAATTTTCAGGCGGCCCAGGTCGTTTTCATCCATTTTGGGCCGCTGTGGAAAAATGCTGGGCGTTTTTTTAAGATTTGGATGTGGCATCCAGACAGGGCCGGACGGAGGCCCTAAGTTTTCTTTTCCCGCCCTGCACTAAGCAAGTCTGAAAAAAAAACGAAAAAAGAAGATCCTACTTTCAAAAAAAAACAACGGAAAAAAAAAAAAAAACAGCACCTGTCAGAAAGGGCGCCTGCAATGACTCTGGGGGCTTTGGGCCTGGGTCCACTACTCACCAAGCGCAAAATGAAAATGAATCTTCTGCTACAACATGGAAAAATACACCACCACATTTTCTGTCTTTTGTGCATATGGTGAGTAGTGGAGCCGAGCTGTATGGCCGCTCTCCAACGGGACCAATTTTTTTTTGTTTGTATGTTGTTTTTTTCCCTTGTTTTTGGCAGATTGGCATGGCTTGTCCTTTAAACGCGTGCGCACCTGCCCATGATGGCATGCTTTGTACATTCCAGCAAACGACAAACAAGAAGAACGGAAAGAAAAACAAAACCGAATATGCCATTTCAAGAAAGAAAAAAACGCCCATCAGGAGAGAGCCTGCAACGGGGGGAGGGACTTTGGGTCTCGCTGCACGGCACACGAAACGAAAACGAAACGAGTGCATCTGCCCACCTAAGGTGGAAAAATACACTCGTTACCATTTATAGCAAACTGACGAACCGGGCCATTTCTTGGGGGAAGATACATTCGTTTCGTTTTTCGTTTTGTGTGCCGTGCAGTGAGGCCCTTTCTGTTCCACGTTTCCCTCTACCGGCCACTTGGCGGGTTCTTTTAGTTCTTTTGTTTGCCTATTTTTCACGTGCTGGCTTTTCACGTGACCGTTGGCAAAAAGCCAGTGGCATTCCATCAGGCCTACCGTCTTCCCCCGAACACAACGCATCCTCATTTTGCCTGTATCGGGCCGGAAACATATCTTGTGTACGTTCATTTTCAGGGTGCGTTATGTTCGGGGGAAGACGGTAGCCCGCTTTGCACACCCACGACCTGTTGAAATACAACCCAAGTTCGAATCCAGATACAATCAGATGACCAGAATGAAATATTTCTGAATTACCTGGGGCCGGTGATATAGCCAATGCGGCCCAACGGCATATTTCAGCCTTCTGTTGCACGCCCATGAACTGTTGAGATGCAGACCTGAGATCAAGCATTCCCCCCACAATTTTTTTTTATTTTTTTTTTTTCCAGAAAATACAGGGGTTCCGGACAGGCATCCGGACAGGAGTTCCGGACCGGTCCGGATATTACGGAATATTCCGGGGTTCCGGAAGTCCGGATGTTGCCGGGGAGTCCGGGTTCGGGGTCCGGATTCGGTCCGGAGTCCGGTCCGGCGTAGCTATGGGTGCAGGCGCTAAGAACGAAAAATAATGAGCATCGTAGTGTAGTGTGTCATATTGTATTGTATTGTAGATAATGCTATTGAATGTACAGCTCATCCAATTACGTCTACATGCATTCGTTTATCAGTCACAGCTCACATAAGGAGTGTGTGTGTCACTGAGCTCGTGAGACATATTCCATCATTTACAAGGACATCTACCGACTTCCCCGACCGCAGCGCACCATGGTTGTAAATGTACACGAGCCATCTTTCCAGTTCAATGCAGACATAATCAGGGTGCGTTGTGGTTGGCGGAAGAAGGTAGCTGTGAGTGTGAAAGAGAAGTAGATTCTGAAGAAAGAGAAGTAGATTCTGAAGAAGGACGAACGATGCATGCATTCACAATTTTGCTTGCGCCACTCAAGACTTTCGCTCCGAAAGAGTTTCTAAGCTTTACAGTCTATGTAGATAAGGACACCCTTGTAAGTTATCGGAACCTGTTTTGGTCCTAGGTTCCGCGGACCCTATTTGGTCCTAAGGTTTTGGGACCTTATTTGGTCCCAAGTTTGGACCTTGTTTGCCCCTTGGTTCGTTTTTCGGGACATTATTTGATCCATCCTGCATTCTAGGACCGTCTATTCGTTCCCTACTTCTCTGGACCAGTTATTGGAACCTGTTTTGGTCCAAGGTTCTGCGGACCCTATTTGGTCCTAAGGTTTTGGGACCTTAGTTGGTCCCAAGTTTTCAGGACCTTATTTGCCCCTTGGTTCGTTTTTCGGGACATTATTTGATCCTGCATTCTAGGACCGTCTATTCGTTCCCGACTTCTCTGGACCAGTTATCGGAACCTGTTTTGGTGCTAGGTTCTGCGGACCCTATTTGGTCCTAAGGTTTTGGGACCGTATTTGGTCCCAAGTTTTCAGGACCTTATTTGCCCCTTGGTTCGTTTTTCGGGACATTATTTGATCCTGCATTCTAGGACCGTCTATTCGTTCCCGACTTCTCTGGACCATAATTGTCCCAAGTTCTCAGTACCGAATAAAGGGACCTCGTTTGTTTGGTCCTAAGACTCCTAAGCTTCCGGGACCAGGACCTCCTTAGTTCCCCTTACTTTGGTCCTGAGTTCGCGGGACCACCTTATTCGGTGCTAAATTACAAGAAGAGGGAGATCATACCAAGAACGGTCAGGCAGCATTGTTGTGATCCTCGACATCCTTGAAGATGTGATTCCTTCGGTCAACTACATGCATTTTCTATAGCCCACCTCATCTCCGTACCGTACGTTCGCCGTGTTTCATTCGTCAAGACTCGGCAATGTTCCATCGTTTACGAGGGGCTGGATTTCCCTCGCATCCCGTTTCGAGTTCCCCCTTTATATATACGGGATGAACCTAAAGAGATATCAACATAGGATTCAATCTCCGGAACTGTTGAAATACAGAGTGTTTGAGTTCAAAGAGATCAACAGAGGACGGTGCAGCACATAGACAGGAATGAGTGGGTGCAGTGCTAGAGTTGTAGTTTGTAGTTTGCCTCTCTTTTCTTGTGTCTTTTCAAAGGGGTGCAGTTATTCCATCGAAGGAACTGCAATCCCGCTTTCCACGACGCATGCACACTTCGCCTTGCAGTAAAATTGTGTTAAGATTGGCGGCTCTCTTTTCTGGAGACTACCGTAAGTCGGAAGTTTTTTGCTGGTCTAAAACTTCCCTGTGCGCCGAAAAAAGAGAGCCGCCGATCTTTCCATTACCTTTTCTCATCTATCGATGCCGAGCCTAAAACTGCCCTGCGCGCCCAAAAAAAACGAACCGCAGCGGGGGCCTCATTTTTGCTCGTGCCACCAGCTATTTCGCGCCGGTAGTCCCGAGCCTGCCTGCCCCTCCCTGTGTTAATCGGCGGGCATTTGTTTCTCATGCAGGGAAAGGTACTTGTGGCTTACGCTAAGTTGCGTGTTTAAACTTTTTAAAGAGCTTACCACATGTGGAATCGATTTATGACATTGTGTGTGTGTTTGAAGTTTCAACTGAAGTTTCAACTGGAGCAACTGAAGGTTCAACTGAAGTTTCAACTGAAGTTTCAACTGAGGTTTCAACTGAAGAAGACTTAGTTTAAACTTTAAATGCATGGTGTTGTAATTTGGTGGTGGATGTGTGTGGTGGTGGTGGGCTTGGCAGATCCGAAAGCAGCTAGAAACACTCCTTGCGGAGAAGGCAAGGCTAGCCCAAGAAAATGCTGCGCTGACGCGCGAAAACCAAACACTCTTGATGCTAGTGGAGATGCATCAACTACAAAATCAAGACTACGCTTCTGAGGTGGGGTCGGTGCTGGAGTTTTGCGACTCGCAAGAAGCAGTCGGGTCCGTGCTTGGCTTGGACTTGAGTAACGGGTCTGGATTTGTAAATGGTGGCCCCCCTTGTTCGCCTTCTCCTCTTCCTTCTTCTGCTCCTCCTCCTCCTCCTCTTCCTCCTCCTGCACCTCCGCTTCGGAGAAACCTCTTCGCTTCGCATGCAAATGGATTTGCACATGCTGAAGGCCAGGCCCTTAGTGAGCCGCAGGATCAGCTTCCCGGTAAGGGTGATGTGTGCGGGAGCGACCAGGTCATCGCTGTGGCGGTATAGGGATGGCCGCGATAAACCATTTTTTGGTTGGAGTTTTGTGTAACGCTGTTGTGGAAGCATACTTCGAGCAGGTCCTCGGGGACGAAAGCTCTCCACGTAGTGCGTCACTCGGACGGACGGACGGACGGACGGACGGAAGGGCAAATATTCTGGTAGAATTAGCGATGCACTCGTACGAATTCGGATATTCTGGTAGAATTTTAACAGGGCAGAAGCGCAAAGTTGCAAGCTGTGAAGCTACCATTCACGAAACTAGTCGCCTTTGTTGTCCTCCGTACTACGTAGAGCTGCACCACATAGGTTCAAAAAATGTTTATAGGTTTGTTAAGATTACTGAGTCTGCCGCTGTCTGCGTACAATGATAACCGGTTCCAAAATTTAATAAATTTCTGCCTCTTTTTTTTTTTTGAGTCTTTTATGATTTTATCCCTTTCACTTTGGCCTTTGCACCCCGATGAATCTGTTTAATTTCCCGCCAAGTGTGCGAGTTAGTTGATTCGAAGTGGGCGGCTCCATGCAGGCCATGGTCACCTGGTCACATTCACAATCGAAAGGATGAGCGTGCGATCAATTGCCAATCCGGAGCTGCGCATTAAAGGGGGGGGGGGGGAGGAGGGGAAACATGGGGAAATCCTGTTCGCCGACCTAGCAGCCATTCATTCAGCCCTGATGTGTATTAATTGTTATTGACATGTCTCTCGGTGGGACTGGATTGTCCCATGTCTCTCTGCGGGACCGGATGGGGGAAGGGGAAACATGGGGAAATCCTGTTCGCCGACCTAGCAGCCATTCATTCAGCCCTGATGTGTATTAATTGGTATTGGCATGTCTCTCGGTGGGACTGGATTGTCCCATGTGTCTCGGCGGGACCGGATTTTGTCCCATGTCTCCCGGTGGGATAAGCTATGCTAGGCTGCAGTGATGTGGGACGGTTGATTGATGCGGGGGCTGCTACTGTATTCACCGAGCTCACCGTGAGCGTGTTTACTTTTACCGTTTTACAGTTAAGCATTTCTTACGCTTGAAAGGACGACGCCAAGGGGCACGATTAGCCCCGATGTGTACTGTGAGGCTAGTAGCATCATTTTGGGTGGGTATGAGCTGTGCTGTCAATGCAGAGTATCTAACGGATTCTAACCGTACAGTATTGTTAGCCAACCTGAGCCCTAGCAATTCCTCTCTGCCAATTGAAATGAGGTGTTTTGCCCTTAGGTGACGTGAATCTGGTCAAGACTGAAAAGCAATCGGAGAAAGACTCGAGACCGATGTCGAATGAGGTGTTTTGCCGGTAGGTAACTTTGGCGAAAAACAAGCAAGCAGCATAGACTCAAGGGCCAGGTAGGGACGTACCAGGTCCTGTGTCCACCTTGTGTACCTTGTATGTGTCTGCATGGCTTTGTCGGCGGAGCCAGCTGATGGTGTTGTTTGTAGAGAGACAAATTGCCAGTGCAGCTCGCGCAGCAGGAGTTTTTTGCAGACTGTTTTTTGTCCCCTTTGGCTGTGGAACGCTTGCCCAATTTCTATATTTAGCACCTAGTAGTCGTTATCCTCTCTGCTCGGAGACCATCTGATGAGCTCTTGTCGCTATATATAGTCCAGTTTTGGGCACGCCCGAGGCTAGGGTATGGTCAGATACTGAGGGAGAGACTGCATCAAAGGTGAGGTGGGGACAAGTGGCTACCTGCCCATGCATCGAGTGCCTGGGTGGTGATGCTTTATAGTCAACAAGCTGCTCGCTATCAAGGAGCTGGTTGGTGGCTGCACAACGAGCTGTGGAGGTGCTTTTTGGGAGGAGCAGGAGGGGTACGTAGCTAACACCAAGTTTCCCCCGACGGAAGTGGAGTCAGTGTTGTAGTTCGTACCTACCTCACACCAAAGCTCACCAGAGGGCAACCGTCGCTGCATCGTTGATTGCTCGTTCATCGACCAGTTTGTCTTTCGGTGCCTGATTGTCCATACACCTGTGGTTAACTCAGGCCATCCTTCCGGTCAGCAAACGAATGCACGCTGGCCTTCAGCCCTCTGCCTGTTTGGACGGATAGACACGCTACTGGGGTCAGTCGGCAGTCGGGCGATTACCAAAAGTTGCAGAGGAGGTTGTTGAAGGCAGAGCCAGAGCTGTATGTAGTGTTGGTTGAGGATGTTGAGGGGTCGCTATCTTTTTTTTTTTTTTTAGTTTACCCAGATTGAGTCTTGATAACCGAACCACGAGTTCGAGCCCTGCTAGATCAATGATCTGAAATCCTTCACGCCTGAGACCTGAGGGTTACCCATATCGAGTCTTGATAACCGAACCACGAGTTTGAAACCCCCTCCTAGATGGGAGGAGTTAGTGTCATGGTTCGGAGAGTGAGGAATTATGAGTCTCTTTGTGGTTGATTGCTCGTTCAAATGATACATCAGCTTTTGGATGGATGGTTGGTTGATTGCCCATTTGTGTATGTGGTGGAATCAGGCCATCCTTCCGGTTTGGAGGCACGAACGTGGTGCTATCACCCGAATAGAACGCCCGGTCTTTCTTTCTGCATCTAGACAGAAAACTGCCCCAGATACGGCTATCATGACCGGGCGTTCAATTCGGGTGAAGACGGTAGGGCGGTCTCTGATAGTTGTGAAGGAGGGTGTTGAAGTCAAAGGCAGGGCTGTATTATTGCTGTTTGAGGGGCTGGCAAGGCTTCTTGGCTGGCTGAGGCCTGGGGGGGGGGGGACCACATATTTAAACCACCAGTACTTCCTAACGGCGTGCCTGCCCGTTAACAAGCCACAATTTTAGGAAACGTACGGGCCTCTCTACAGGAGCGCCCAAATTCATTTAGCTAGAAACGTTTCTACTCTATTTTTTCTGCGGATGATAGCTGGGCCAAGTACTGGTGGTTTTAACTGCTGCTGATAAACAGACCAACAGTTCAAATCCCGGTCGATACGATAATGTGTGGGACCCTAAGGGGACTACCCCTTTCAACAGATGGAGGCTTGCACGACCTGAGGGGGTGGTCAGATTAGGGGTCGAAGCTTGGCAGAAGGTTGTGTCGGGCGAGAATGGGAAGAAAGCTATTTTTTTTAGGAGATCGGTAAAGTAGCTGCTGGCTGCATTGGCCTTAAGAGACGGCAGCTCTCAAACACCCCCTGCCACCTCTAACCTGTTATTCCTGCAGCAGTGGATTGACTTGCCTGGGAGCCACTTTGGAGATGGGAGAGAGTACCGCTCTCTACCCCATGAGATGGGCAGCATGTGCCCTGACGTCAGAACACGTTTCATATGACTGTGGAAAGGATGGGGCATAATACCGCAACTGCTTGTAGGCCAGCATCACGGTGATGCATAGCTCTGGTAGGCTGCAGTTCTCGAGAAGCCCCCCAGTCTGTGGGAGCCACTGTGGAGATGGGCGACGTACCGCTCTCTATCCCCGCTAAATGGGCGACATGTGTCCGCCGACCAAGTTTGCGGAAGTTCATGACCGTGGCGCATCATACCGCAACTGCTTGCAGAGCACTGTGATGGATGGCTCTGGCAGGCTACAGTTCTCAAGCTGGCCCCCCGTCTCCCCCCCACTCTGACATGTTATTTCTCCGGTGGATTGCTTTTTTTTTTTGTGGAATCCACTTCTGAGATCGGCAAGGATTATCGACTGTGGTTATGTTAAAGGTTCCCCGTCACTGACTAACCACCAATCTGACACTCTTTTTACTGTGGTAAATTGGTAGTGTTATAGGTTATGGGTTCCCCGTGGTAAATTGGTAGTGTTATAGGTTATGGGTTCCCCGTCACTGGCTGATCAATCTGACGCGGTTTACGTTTGGTCATCGCGGAATCTCGGATGTAAAACATTATGGAACAGTAATACAGTTGTATGGTTATTGGGACTTGTTATGAAAAGAGATCACTGTGCCATATTGGATTACAGTCCCACAGGCACCCTCCGTATTTCATCTGTGTCCCTGCCTGTGGATTACAGTCCCACAGGCACGCTCCATTGTCAAACTCTCCTCAACTGGCGCTTGGGACTTGGAAGATCTCTGGCGTTCTCACATCTGACGGGCTGATGACGCCAGCTGGTGCGCTGACGCGGACAGACTTCGACGTGCGTCTTGCGATGCTCTGTCCGTCACCGCATTATTGTGCCAGGCGGTGCGCCGACTCTGCCAGTATAATATTGGCTGGGGGAGTCAGGGTTGAGATCGTAGATGGTAGTCTAACTGCTGCGCTTATGCGTCTCTTGTAAAGGCTGAACGAAAGTGGGGCGTTCCCGGCATCATGAGGGGGGAAATCAACAGCTTGCGTCTCTCCTAAAGGCTGAACGAAAGTGGGGCGTTCCCGGCATCACAAGCGGGGAAATCAACAGCTTGTGCCGACTGGCATTTGGAGCACGTCGACAGCCGCAATAAAGTGGGATTAAGAGCTTGAGCTTGGAAGAATTAATCAATGGCTACCGTAGTCAGGCAATTCTCTCGGAGTGTATTGTGACTATCGCTCGTCCCTCTGTGTGTGTCAAAAGTCAAAAGTGGTACGATTGGGACCCCTTGGAGCGGGCAAGATGTGTAGATGGGGGGTTGGTAATATTCCGCGCCTCGCCTCCAAGCAGACAGCTCACAGATTGACATTGTAGGCCACCGTGAGGACATCAACGGCTGTTACCTTCCGGCATTGCAACTGTGAAAGGGACACGGAGGAGCGTGTACTTGAATGTGCCAAAGCGATGCTGTCATTGTGAGGATCTAAAAGTATGTTAATCGGCTGAAAGGGGTCACAGGGCGTGACTCCTCGGAGCAGCACCCTGAGGAAATCAACGGCTGTTATCAGCTGAAAGGGCATGGAGCGCGACTGCGCGGAGCAGAACCCTGAGGAATTTTTTTTTTTTTTAATGGCTGTTACCGTCCGGCATTGTAACTGAAAGGACACCGAGCGTGGACGCGGATGCGCCAAATCAATGCTGTCATTGTGAGGATCTAAAATTATGTTTTCCAGCCGCAAGGGCACAGAGCGCGACTGCTGGGAGCAGCAAGGCGTCAAGAGTTTGGTAGTATTCTGTGTGTCTCCTCGTCGCGGACATCTGATAGGCTGGCATTG